ATTCTTACCTGTGCTTGTATATTAGGAAATGGAGATTAATAATAGTTTTAATCTAAGTCAAACTGAATTAGGAAGCAAAAACCCCCCTAATTTATATCAGTTGAATACATTGTTTTAAAATTCACTGCTTAGGTGTTGGTTATCCTTAGCAGCCTCCCTAGTGTAGAATACTGAGAGGTAACTGTGTACAGAAGCAGACAGAAGAAATACGGCAAGAGAGGGTAAGAGAGAGAGTCTCTAATGTAGAGTACCTTATGCTTTTATTCCTGAAAAGTGTTGAGTAAATGACTCTGCATTTACATTAGGATGTGGATTATTGGATTTTCCCAAATGTACTCAATTTAATTCCCACGGTGGACTGTCTGCTCGTACCATTTAGTGACTCAGCTGTGTGGCATGCATGATAGTCAAAAATCAAGTGCTATAATTGAAATATTCAATTATATTTGAGGAAGGGGCTTAGGACAAAGGATTCTATGGTTGTATGGATTTCCTTGTGAATGTTTTTCACCTAGAAGCCTAGGAGATGTTGTGTGCCCTTGAGGGAAACAAAGGAGATGTCAGCCTCAGGGAGTCTTATTAGATCAGCAGTGTTTGGTGGCAGTCAGATACACACCACTCTGTGTACCTAAAAATGAAAGCACACCCTATTGTTTTCTACAAGTTCTGCATGACACAAGCCTACTCATGAATTATGCCATAATCACCATTGCAGTATGATTTGCATAGGAGTTTAGAGCATGTTCTGCTGATACATAACTAACCTCACAACTGGAGACATCTACTTTATTTTTAAAAATATAAATTCTTGGGGGAAAAAAAGAGGGTGTGTTGGTTTCTGAGTTGTTGGCCTTCTCCCCCTACTACTCAGCCCCTGTTTCTGCATCTCTTTTGAGGACAGTCAATCTTTGNTCTCCTCTCAAGATGTATTTTTTCCTGTGTGAAATCTGTCAAAACAAACCAGGAGAGCCCCATTTCCATATCTTTCTCTTCATCTTCCTCCACCACACTTGCATTCCCTATCTCATAAATTCACTTCACATACCCCACTTCAGTGTAAGTACAACCTCAGCCTTTCCTGCTCAGTGTCAAACTCAAGTATAATGATCAGTAATGGACTCATAACGAACAAAACCACGAACCAAAATGCCACCCTGAGAATACAGCAAAAGAAAGCTACAGAACAACTGTCTGCCCTCAGGTGTCTGTCGGGGCAATGGTAGTAGATGAGAGAACATATCACACACTTTGAATCTGTTTTTAAATCCTGCAGTTGTTTCTGCTTCTGGTTCTATCAGGGATTTGCCACACCCAAAGTGAAAAGGAGGAACAATTACTGGGTACTCTAGGACATGAATATCC